ACTACAACAGAGTCAATTATTACTTTTTAATTTAAGCCCTTATGACATTCCAAAGACCACAAGACTGGAAATACCATATTTTTACACAAATAACGCACACCTTCTGAATTTGTTTGCTGGCCGCGCCCTCCCCCCACAAGGAATCCTTGCAAGCACACTGATTTTTCTTCACAGCAATATGTACAAAAAAAACTGGCATAGTGGTGCTTATGAAAATACCTTGCAGGGGAAGCGTGCAGCCAGCAAGCAAATTCAGAAGGTGCATGTTATTTGCATAAAAATACAGTGTATCTGTAGATACGTATGGTAGAGTCATAATGGGTGACAATGCCGCCCTCTTGTGGGAGCCAGAGAATAGCCTTGTGGAGGGATAAAGAAGTCCCACGATTAAGTGCTGTACTAAAAGCCAAAAGGCTGCAGTTCAAACCCACCCACAGGCACCCCAAAAGACAAGCCTGGCAATCTGCTTCCAAAAGATCACAGCCCTGAAAACTTCATGGAGCAGTTTCACTCCGCACACATGGGGTTACCAGGAATCGGAATCGACTCAACAGCAACGAACGACAACAACAACAGACGGAAGGATGAAAGGTTCAAGTGTCTCACCGCTGAACCATTAAGGATAGCACAGAAGAGTCTTCTATGCTGCAGAATTTAAGAGGTGCCTTTTTGGTACTCACGGCAAATTACTTCCTAACTAGCCTGCCACATGCCTGAATTTGTATCATTCCAGATCAATCCATCAAGCCTTTCTCAACCACGATTCTTCATCTGAACCACGAAAACACAGAAAGTGTTTTGTGACAGAAATTGTTACTGGAGTGATAATTTGTGCAATTCTCCCCAAAATGGTATATAGTGAGAAATTAATTCCTGACATACACTGGATGCCTCGAGGCTTTAGGGCAAACCTCAAAATTCACAAGCTTTACAATTTGCATATGTTCAGTCGTCCTGTGAGGACACTTAAAATCCAGAGTGAATAAAATATTTAGGTACAAATAGTTAAAACTATGTTATTTTACAAAGGTATTACAGGGAGACTGGTCCTACCTGGCTTGCTGTTGGTCGTTTCTTTGGGTCCCAACTCAACATTTCAGTCATGAGCTGTATTGCTTCATTACTGGCGTTGGGAATGAGAGTTCTTAAGTTTATAGGAACACACTGGGGAAAGCGGAAATTCATGGAGGATGCAAGCTGGTACCCTTCTGGCCAGTCACTCTGTGTAAGAAATATGTAAATGGGAGAGGGATCAGAAAGAAACAGTTGTGTTTAGTAATTAGTTTTAAACCACAGCAATAATATAAAAATTACTTATGTGTGAAAACAGAACATAAACAGATGTGAGATTCATATAAATAGATGTGACACTGAATTAGCAAACAATATACAATTCAGAAAGAACACTGAACTGAGAGAAAAAAATGAAAAAGTACTTTTGTAAATTGCAAAATATTAAAAACTGTATGATCTTTGGATCTTGATGATGCTGATGATGCCTGGATGACTTTGAACAAGGGAAGATGTTTTACCGAGAAGCTGATTATTACAAACATAATATAATTATCT